CCTTCCCTCCTGGCCCCCAGCGTTATCACTGAGCACAGTGTCGGGGTCACATCTCTCCAGGGCTTCCCCTGACACTTACCTTCATGGAGCTTTCTTTCCTATGCCATCCAGAGCACAACCCCGCTGCCTGCCAGCTGCCCTGCACTCTCTGCTAAGGGCTAGGCACAGGGTGGTGAAGAGGAAAGAACACAGATGCTGCAGTTGGAACCCCAGCTGTGCCAACTTGGGCAATCAGAGTCCTTAACCCCTCTGCATCCTGGTGTGTTCATCTGCAAACTGGTGTCACCCAACCTCGTCTTCTAAGCGTGTTGTGGCGCTTAAACAAAACTGTGTGTGAACTGCCTGGCCTGCGCAGAAAGGGTACTATTTTTATAGGCATTTCACCCATTTGGCTGGAGAGTGCAGTGTCAGGCCTGAGACACTCCGTTTGAGAAAGAAGCGCCAGCTGTGCCAACTTGGGCAATCAGAGTCCTTAACCCTTTGACAATCTGGTGTGTTCATCTGCAAACTGGTGTCAGCCAACCTCATCTTCTAAGAGTGCTGTGGCGCTCAAACAAAACTGTGTGTGAAGTGCCTGGCCTGCGCAGAAAGGGTATATTTTTATAGGCATTTCACCCACTGGGCTGGAGAGTGCAGTGTCAGGCCTGAGACACACCGTTTGAGAAAGAAGCAATTTCAACCAGCAGTTCCTTTGGCCCTTTGTTCTTAGTGGATTGGATTCCCTTTGGATTAAGGAAGAACAGACGTGTTCTCCCCTAAGGATTTTGCCTCCATTCACACAGGTGCCGAGTCCAGGGAGAACACCAATTATGTCATAAGAACCCAAAGCAGAGGTTAGGCCCACATGGATTCGGATTTGCAGGTTATCGGAGGCAAATCACTTCACTGGTCCGACCAGATTGTGGTGGTTTTCAAGCCTGGCTACATATTAGCATCACCTGGGAGCTTTCCAACCCATGGGTGTGCAAGCCCCACCCCAAACCAATCTCAGCAGAATCTCTGCTGGGTGGGGCCCGGGTATCAGTACTTTTAAGATGATTCTACTGGGAGAGGCACTGGACAGAGCTCTCCAACATCCCGCCCAGGCACCTTGGTGCCTACCACAGTGTAGGGTTCAGAGTGTATACTTATTATATGTACTAAATAAATGAATACAGATTCTGACTCGCAGTACTTTTAAGATGATTCTACTGGGAGAGGCACTGGTCAGAGCTTTCCAACATCCCTCCACCTACCACAGTGTATGGTTCAGAGTGTATACTTATTATATGTGCTAAATAAATGAATACAGATTCTGACTCACCTCTTTTGCTATTTCCACCTTCGCAGTGTCTGAGGTAAGAGAAGAAAGAATTGAACTCTAAGAATCCCAGAGCAGTGCCGACCGATAGAAATTCCTGCAATGATGGAAATGTTCTATAATCTATGCTGTCAACACAGTAGCCACAGCCGTGTGTGGCCCTTGAGTATTTGAAATGTGGCCAGTGTGAGTGAGGAACTGAAATTTTCATTTTATTTCATGTTGATTCAAGTTAAGGAGCCACCTATGACTCTGGCTGCCCCGTTGGACAGTGCCGACACAGTGTCTGCCTTTATAAACACATCTCTATCTGTGTGCCCCCATGTCCCTCTTTTACTAACTGTGCCCATTTGCATCTAAGAAAGCCCCTTGCCCCCACTGGAGGGTAGTCTTTGGAGGGCAGCTTATGAAGTTGCTTTGCCCTCCTTCAACCAAAGGGGTGGGCCCAGGACCCAAGCTAAGTCAACCAGACTCTCCTCCCTGGGAACTTGATTCTAGCTTCAGTCTTGTAAGACTAGACAATGAGCTGGAGCAGATTAATACCAATGTTGATGCCCTGAGACGCTGTGTGAGTTCCCAGAACATTAGTCTCAGTCCAGACTTGAAGATAACAACCGTGACAGATGATGCTAGGCTCATTAGCATCACCATCCCTGTCATTGTCAAAGTCACTTGTACCCAGCAGCTCTGACGTGCTAGCCCCTGAACTAGGTGCTTAAGTTGCCTAGCTTCCTGTGCATCATTTCTTCACCTGTAAGATGGGAATTAACTTCTCCTAATTTCTTCCAGGGTCCTTGTGAAGACAGGCAATGATCATAAGAGCTTTGAGCCAACAAGGAGTTACCCAAGTATCTGTTAAAGGTGTTGTTCTGGGTATAAGGGTAGGAGAAACAGTACTTAGTATCTGGACTCAATTCACAAGCTGTGTGACACCAGGCAAGGCACTAGTCTTCTCTGGGCTTTTGGCATAAATGAGATTGAGTTAGACACATCCCTTCCCAGTTTCACCTTGTCTGACACTTATCCACTCCCATTTCTATGAAGACAGCTTTCTAGCTTAGACCACACTAGCCTTGTATGCAACTCATTTCCTCTTTCCCCAGCAAACCACCTGACCAGGGAGTTGCCCTGGGCAAGTACTCCCGGTACTAAGTCTCTGTCAAAGCACTTTATTGGAATCATGTTTAACCATTCTTGTATGCAACTCATTTCCTCTTTCCCCAGCAAACCATCTGACCAGGGAGTTGCCTTGGGCAAGTACTCCCTGTAGCTTCATGTACTAAGTCTCTGTCAAAGCACTTTATTGGAATCAGGTTAACCATCTCCTCCACTAGCAGACCATAAGCCCTAGTAGGACAAAGACCATATCCCTCTTGTTCACCACTGTGTCCCCAGGGCTAGTACAGAGCCAGTGTCTGAAGAAGTTAAGATGTCAGTTCAAATGATTAGTTGTGTGATCTAGGCAACATCACTCTCTGAGACCCAGTTTCCCCATCTATACAATCAGCATGTTGCAGTCAGTGGTTCCTAGTGGTTTTTACACGCTTGGAGTCTTCGTGCTTCAGTGAGCTTAAGAGGACGCCCTGCCTTGCCTGGTTGGTGTGGCCCAGGGGTTGACGTGGACCTATGCTATGAACCAGGAGGTCACAGTTTGGTTCCTGGTCAGGGCACATGTCCAGGTTGTGGGCTAGACCCCCAGTAGGGGGCGTTCAGGAATTCTCTCTCATCATTGATGTTTCTATCTCTCTCTCTCTCCTTCTCCATTCCTCTCTAAAATCAATTTTTTAAAAATGTTTTTAAAAGAGGATCCCCCCTTAACTAGGTTTTTTGAAGTCCTGTGACCCTTTGCTGCTCACCCTTGATTTCTGACCCTGGAGGCAGCAAGAGGTTGCTTCTGGAGCTCCCTGGACCTATGAAGTTCGAACACCAGGAACAACTTTAAGAAACAGATGGGGAACCACCGAGGACCTCAGATTCTCCAAGGCCTTGCCTGTCCCAGGCCAAGTGTGGAAACTTCTGCTTATCAGAGGAGGGGGTGGGGAGAAATGCCACCATCGCAGAGCCCCAGGAGCCCCAGGAGCCTCTGATACACATTTACTCCTGGTGGGAGAGCAGGGAGGAGTTTGAAAGCAGTCTGGCTGCTTCAATTTAGTGAAGTGCCTGTGCCTTTTCTGACTTACAGCTGTGAGGAAGGAGTGGGGGCATTGGGTCTCTGCATTCCTGAGCCCAATCAACAAATGGGCGCTACTTCACCTTCTTCTGGGTTCATCCCTAACCCTTCCCATGGGTTGCGTCCCAGGGCCCTAGGGCGCAGCTCGCTTCCTGGAGGGGAGTGGGGGGAGGGAGTACCCAAAGCCCTGTTCAGGGAGGTGGGCTAAAGGCGAACCCTGGGCACCACGTTCCCGGGGGGCAGGTCTTGGGGAGGAACAGTGATTTTAACCCTTTCGCTTCCCGAGAGTGACCCTCAGCCCAGATATCCCCCACCTTTTAGGAACGCGCGCGCCAGTAGGGCTCCACGCTCGCCCAGTGTGACGACCTCGGCTGACGGAGAAACTGAGGCCGCCAGAGGGAAGTGACCTGTTAGATGTCCCGCAGGAAAAGAGACGCTGAGTCCGGTCTAGAACCCCGGTCTTCCAGGCCATGCTCTGGCTTCTACACCAACTGAGGGTCCCTGCGAGGTGCTCCGCTTAGGAAATTCCCGACCGCGGACCTTGCGAGCCCGGAGTCGCCCCGGAGTGTGCATAGTTTGGCATATTGTAAACTTCCTCCGCAGCTCCGCCCCAGCTTCGCGGCGCCGGGAGAGAGCGGTCCGAGGGGAGCCACGCTCACCCCCGTCCTAGAGGCAACTTGGAGCAGGAGGCACAGAACCCGCGGAACGCACTGGCCCTTTAAGGGGGGGACAGGG